AACTTAAAAATGGGAGGTGAAAGGGCCTCATAAGTGGAATAGCCTAGGGCCTCTTTTCATCTAAATCCGGCCCTGCTCATATGTTTTAGCTTCCAGTCCCCTCATCAGCTTTGTTGCTCTTCTCTGCACTCTTTCTAGAGTCTCCACATTCTTTTCAATATTGTGGTGACGAAAACTGGATACAGCACTCCAACTATGGTCTTAGCACAAGGCCTTCTAGAGACCGAATGCATTTAAGAGAGATCAATTAACCGAATGCATTTAAGAGAGCAAAGCTGGCTGAGGAACTCTGGGAGTTGAAGTCCACAGGTCTTAAAGTTGCCAAGGTTGGAGACCACTGAATTAAAGCAAGGATTTGCTATAGAGATATCAACGTTTGAAAGGCTCCGGTCGTCATGAAACACTCAGAAATGGCCCTTGGGGGAGGGACTTTTCGAACGTACCACAAAGTCCATACATTTTTGAGGCAAAGCTCTTTGGGCTAAGCTGTAAGGTGAATTCATTGTTGCTTGGGGTGAAGGCCACGGTGTGGTTCACTTGCAAAAACCTGACTTCGTGCATTATCGTCCCGTAGATATTGGCTTCTAATTGACCGTTGTTATAAGGAGGTGTAACTTCCAGGCCATTCACAGCCACCTGTTTTGAAAAGTGGGTTGAAGAAGAATTGGATTAGATTAACAGAGTTGGAGGGGACCTTGTAGGTCATCTAGTCCAACCCCCTCACATCCAAGCAGGAGACCCTACACCGTTCCAGAGAAAAATGGCAGTCCAGTCTCTTCTTGAAAAGCCTCCAGGGATGATGCTCCAGCAATGTCTGAATTAAACCACAGAGCTCAAGCACTTCCACTTGAAAGCAACGGGAATCTGAAAGGGCAGCTAAAATACACCATGAGGTTGAAAGCAAAGTGCAGGTTGTCCTCGACTTACAACCGTTCCAGTTAGTGACCAAAGTTACATCAACACTGAAAAAAGTGACTTAGGACCAATTTTCACAATTACGACTGTTGTAGCATCCCCGTTGACAATCGACTTGCATTTATGACAGTCCCAGGGTCACGTGATCCCTTTTTGTGACCTCCTGACAAGCGAATGGGGAAGCCAGATTCACTTAACAACAGCGTTGCTCATTTAACGACTGCAGGGATTTGCTTAACAAATGTGCCAAGGAAACGGGACAGAAATCACTTCATAAATTCCTCACTTATGCAACATAATTTTTGGGCTCAATTGTGGTCGTAAGTGGTGAACTAGGTCCTCCACTTATGACCACAATTGAGCTCAAAATTTATGTTGCTAAGCGAAGGCGGAAGAGCCCTTCTTGGACGCCTCCAATCTGTTCAGTTGGGGAACAGATAACAATAACGGAAGGCAGGCAGTCCTCGGCTTATGACGACAATTCAAGCCCAACATTTCTGTTGCGAAGCAAAACATCCGCTAAGTGAGCTTCGCCCCATTTTGCGACCTTTCTTGTCACACTTGTTAAGGGAATCTCTGCAGTTGTTGAGTTAAGCAACCTGGTTGTTAAGTGAACCTGGTTTCCCCGTTGCTTGTCGGAAGGTCGCAAAAGCGGATCGCGTGACCCCCGACACCCTGCAACCATCATAAATATGAGTCAGTTGCCAAGCGTCTCAACTTCGATCCATTGACTGTGGATCTCTTAGCAACGATCGCTAAGTGTGAAAAACGGCCGTAAGTCACTATTTTTCCGTGCCGTTGTAACTTTGAATGGTTCCCTAAACAAATGGCTGTTAAGTTGAGGAGTAGCTGTGTAGGGGAGGACGTGTGAGTGGAAGGGCAGCTGTCTTGAGTGGGAAGCAAAACTCATTTCCCCAACCAGCAGAAGGATGGCAGGTGATACGAAGCCCCAAAGAAAGGGGGGGGGGGAATAATAATTTCTGGCATAGTTGTGATGCCACGTTGGCAGCAGACAAGACTTCTGGAGTGGCTACTGCCGTCTAGTGCAACCCATCACAATTAAATGGCAATCTGTTCCGAATTACCCTGTTTTGTCCTGGAATTTGGGTTTTGTCCAGTCCCAGAGCAAAGCCTGAGAGTCTATTCCTTTTATATGGAAAAGGAGATTCAGTCTTGCTCAGAAAGAGTGATTACTGCAAATGTGGTTGGGCCTTTTTTAGAATAGAATAGAATAACTTTATTGTTACTTCGAATGTACATTAATTGGGGGGAGAGAGAAGGAGTGGGGCAGAGAGAGACAGAGAGACACACAGAGAGAGACAAAGAGACAAAGAGAGAGAGGGAGGAGGGAGGGAGAAAGAGACAGAGAGTGAGAGACAGACACAGAGACAAATAGAGAGAGACAGAGAGAAAGATAGAGAGACAGAAAGACATAGAGAGAGACAAAGAGAGACAAAGAGACAAAGAGAGAGAGACAGAGACAAATAGGGAGATACAGAGAGAGAGAAAGAGAGAGAGACAGAGACACACACACACACACACACAGAGAGAGAGAGAGACAAAGATAAAGATAGACAGAGAGAAAAAAAAGAGACAGAGAGAAAGACAGAGAGAGAAAGATAGACAGAGACAGACAGGCAGAGAGACAGAGAGACACACAGAGAGACAGACAGACAGAGAGACAGAGAGAGACAGAGACAAAGAGGGAGATACAGAGAGAGAGAAAGAGAGAGAGACAGAGACACACACACACACACACACAGAGAGAGAGATAGACAAAGATAAAGATAGACAGAGAGAAAAAAAAGAGACAGAGAGAAAGACAGAGAGAGAAAGATAGACAGAGACAGACAGGCAGAGAGACAGAGAGACACAGAAAGAGGGAGAGATAGAGGGAAAGACAGAGAGAGAGAGACACAGAGAGACAGAGACAGAGAGGGAGACAGAGACAAATAGGGAGATACAGAGAGAGAGAAAGAGAGAGAGACAGAGACACACACACACACACAGAGAGAGAGAGAGATAGACAAA